AGAGAGAGAGAGAGAGAGAGGTAGATGGATAAAGATAGCTGTGAAGAAGGTTAAAATGGAATTATAACCAAAAACAGTAAGTAAATTGTTCAAAGATACCAACATATTAGTACAGGGTTGATCTGCTAAAAAATAAATTATACCTATTTTGTTAATGGTTAATCTGTACATTGTCCTCTGAATCAGAGCTCGAGAAGAACACCAATGGCGGCTTAGGAACGTCAAGCGTAAAAAATGGACTCTTCGGGCAAAACAATCTCTTCTTGAATTCTAACACTCGAGCTCTTCTCTCTCACAGTAAGTCATCTTCCTCCTCCGACAAAGTCTTCGCCCAATCCGGGCGCTTTTTAGTTGTCAATTCTCTCATTATCTCTCTCATCGCTTCTAATATCAGAAACTAATCCAGGAGTTTCAAAGTTCTCGAAGGAGTAAGTGGAATTATTGGGCGTTGGATGCAAAACAGAGCAAGCCATGGCTTCTGCTTATGATTCAATTAATGAAGAGGAGGAAGACGTGAATGGGTACGTTAATAACATTTTTGTAGTCCAGCATTTGTTGGGATCTTTCTGGAAGCAACAATGAAAGAAATTCTTACCCTCCTCAGACATCTCCAGGGGGGATCTCCGGCAGCTCATCGCTGCACCCGATTCGAAACAACAGATGTCAAATTCCATAGTTAGAATCCTCAATGTCGCGCCAAGGTAGTCGGCTAGAAGTCATTTCTGACATTGAGCATCCTAAAGCCCAAATGTCTGCCGCCACATTGTAGTCATTGCATGAAGCAGATTTGGGAGCCACGTACAGCGGTGTTCCCCTTATGTTTCTCTTGGTGGATTCCTCTCCCACCCTCGTCAAAAGTCCGAAATCGGTGATCTTCGCTTCTCCGTCGACAATTAGAATGTTATCAGGTTTTATGTCACAGTGAACATATCCCATGTTGTCGATGTGTCGAAGACCAAAGAGGATGAAATGAACATAACGACAGATGATTGGCTCCGGTAGGGCACCGAAAATGCAGGATCCGACGACGTATTCAAGGAAAAGGTTGTACATTAGTTCGTCGGAGTGTCGGTGGTGATGTCATGTCCGAAGCAGTGGATGATTTGAGGACATCCCTGCAGATCTGTGAGTACAACCTCTTCGTGTTGGAGAAGCGTGGAGGAAGAGAGACTAGTGGATTTGACGGCTAATGCGGCGGAGGGGAAGCTACGGTGGAATGCAATGTAGACTGCAGCAGAGCTTCCTTGTCCGATGGCGGCGCCACTTACCCAATCCATCCTTCAATAATGTCTCCTCAATTGAAAGACCGTTAAGAATGTTATCTTTTTTTTGGAAAGGGTTGATATATGTAAAGAAAGGCGGTTGTTTTATAAGTGAGTGGTAGAATTCAGATCCAGATCCGAACCCGATATCAGCTGTTCTTGGCAAATGGTTGGCTCGTGGAGGGGATCTTAGATTTTATTAAAATAAGAAGCATTATTTTTTTTGTTTTTCCTAATATAGAACTAATTTTATAATAAAACTGACTTTTATTTGTTTTTAATCTCTCTCAAACAAAAAATTCAAATATGTATCACCAATCGCTTATATATTTAGATATCTTAATCCTCAAACAAAAAATTCAGATAGGTTGTCATATTTAACTTTCCATGCATAAGGATATTTTCCGGCTAAGCATTAAAATAATCCTTCTTATTTTCTAAGGAAGTTTTCTAAGACAGCTATAAAAGATTTTCTTTATGAGAAATATGTCTCTTCATTTAATAAAGAATTTAAAAAAGAATAATAATAGATCTTACTTATCCTTTATGTTTAACTTAATTACGAAATCTCATTGCCATTAAAATATTAAATATTTTTATTTTATTTACTTGAATAAAATAAAATTAAAAAAAAACCATTATTATTTAATTTTGGAGTACATACATTCATACCATACAAGACTTGTCTATTTATATATCTATTCTAAACATTCATATTTACATCTATACCAAAATTCATTAGCATCACATCAAAATAATAATCATTATCTTTTAAAAAATGAAATAAAAATTTTCATACAAAAGTTTTTTAGGTATCTCAAAATCCACTTCACAGCTTCCCAATATTCCTTCCCTGGATTACTCATGTATCTGCTCACAACTCCCACTACATGGGCAATATCCGGTCTGGTACATACCATAGCATACATAAGTCAACCAATAGCTGAAGCGTAAGGAACCTTACTCATGTAATCTTATTCCTCCTCTGACTTAGGTGATTGATTTTTGCTGAGTTTGAAGTGACTGACTGAAGGTGTGTCAACTTGCTTGACCTTGTTCATATTGAACCTACTAAGCACCTTTTTCACATATTCAGCTTGTGAAAGTCTCAAAATGTCTTTGACTCGATCTCTAACAATCCTCATGCCAAGGATTTGTTTTGCCGCTCCCAAGTCTTTCTAAATCCTTCATTACAAAGTGGTCTGACATCTGTTTCTTCATATTATTAATCTCATAAATGCTGGCCCCTGCAATAAGTATATCATCCACATACAACAACAGGATGATATAAGAATGGTCAAAGTACCTGACATAGCAACAGTGATTTGCTTGAAATCTGCCGTATTCGACATTTTGCATGAAATTATCAACTTCTTGTACCATTGTCTAGGAGCTTGTTTCAGACCATACAAGCTCTTCTTTAGTCTACAAATTGAATCTTTTTTTCCTTGTACCACGAACCCTTCAGGCTGGCGCATATAGATAATGCATATATTTGTCTTCTTCAAAGACTCCATGAAGAAAAGCTGTCTTCACATCTAATTGCTCCAGGAATAGATCTTCGGTAGCAACCATAGCCAGGACCATCCTGATGGTTGTGAGTTTTACCATAGGAGAAAAGATCTCAGAGTAATCAATGTCTTGCTTCTGTTGAAAGCCTTTTGCAACAAGTCTGGCCATCAGACTCAATCTTTACCCGGTACACCCACTTGTTGTGCAATGCCTTTTTTCCCTGGGGGAGTTCTGTTAGATCCCATGTTTGATTTCTCAGCAGAGAATCCATCTCCTCCTTCATGGCCAGCTCCCACTTACTAGAATTTTCATCTGCTAAGGTTTCTTTATAGCTTTGTGGTTCTTCACTATATGTCAGTAATATGTAATTTAAAGTTGGTGAGTAACACTGCGGCGAATGTCTACTCTTGACTGACCTCTGAACAATGACTGGAGTAGTGAATGACTCTGAACCTGCCTACAGAATAATAGGAATGGGTGCCCTGGACCCATTCTCCTTTTCATTCCCATCTCCGTCCTGCTCTGTGTCGTCTGGTAGATCGTCAAACTCCACGAACTCTGAATCCTGAGGAGCTACTCCAGAATTTGTATTGGCCTTATCCTTGTACATCATCTTCTCATTGAAAATCACATTTCTGCTTCTGATAATATTCCAATCGTAATCATCACAGAAATGATAACCAAATGTTTCGTCTCCATAGCCAATGAAATAACATTTCTTTGACTCAGCATCAAGCTTGCTACGCACATCAAGATTGATTAGAACATAAGAAAGACAAACAAAAGTTTTAATATGAGAAAATTTGACCTCTTTGCCGCTCCAGAACTCCTCAGGTAATTTACAGTCTAATGGGACAGACGACCCTCTGTTGATCAGGTAAACTGCAGTGCTAACCGCATATGCCCAGAAGGTTGGTGGTAGTTCTGCGTGCAATCTCATGCTCCTAGCACGCTCATTGATGGTCCTTTTCATGCATTCCGCAACTCCATTTTGTTGTGGTGTCCCCAGAATGGTCTTCTCCATTTTGATACCTTGAGCTGCACAATACTCCTTGAACCCACCATCAATGTACTCACCACCATCGTCAGATCTCAAATATTTCAGTTTTAGATCTGTCTCTGTTTCAACCATGGCCTTCCAAGTTTTGAATAGAGAAAATACATCAGATTTATGCTTCAGAAAGTAAACCCATACATTTCTGTTGTGGTCATCTATGAATGTGATGTAATAGTGAGAGCCTCCAAGAGATGCCACTGGGGAAGGTCCTCATACATCGGTGTGTACCAGTTCTAGTTTTCTTGCCTTTGACACCCTGTCAACTTTCAGGAAACTGACCTTTTTCTGCTTCCCCATGATGCAACTTTCACACATGCCTAAATCAACGGACTTCAGTTCTGGTAGCTTGCCTCTGGACCGAAACTCTTTCATACCTCTCTGACTCATGTGTCCAAGTCTGCAATGCCACATGTCTGCTATGCTCTCTGCAACAGTGGTATCAACATTGTTAATTAGACCAGTTATCATATATAGCGTACCGGTCTTCTTACCCCGAGCTAGTACCAGTGCTCCTTTAGTAACCTTCCAGATGTTATCAAAGAATACTACTGAATGACCTCCCTCATCAAGCTGCCCAACAGATATGAGATTCTTTTTTAGTTCAGGAATGTGTCTA